TTTCGATTTCATGGGGCTTAAGGGGAATAATTTCTCTGAAAAGTATTTTGGTTGTTTGGTTGACAACTTGTTTGGTTGACAACTTGTTTGGCACCGTGAATCTCAAGAAATTTGGCAATCTTTAAAAGCGAGAAGCCTGTGGTGTCGATGTTGTGGAGAGTGTTAAATTATTATCTTGATTTTGGCATGTAATTGGCATAAATTCCAGAGGTTGTGGAGATTTTTACTTATGGTGCAAATGCCATGGTATTTTATGTAAGTGGTTTTTCTTGTGTAAATGGTAGGTTATCCGTTGTACTCCTTTAATTACATTGCTCTATTGTTTATAAAAAAATTAAAATTTTCAGCTATTTGATTCTTATTTGTAAGTTAGTTTACTTTGTAATTTGCGGTTGTCATCACTATTTTGTGAATCACTTTAAGACTCTCTTGTACCATCAATTGATTATAGTGGAGCTATTTCTTTGGTCTGGACGACTCATGATTTTTACTCTCATATTAAGGGGTTTTTCACAGTAAAAATATCAATATTCTTTAGTGTCTTTTATTTTTTCGGTTTGTCGTCTTATATTTGTTGTTGATCCTCAAGATTCCTACAAGTATGAAGAATTTTATACCCACTGCATATTGTTCTGTTATTTTTTCTTAATTTCCCATCAATAATTATGTAGCGCTTACAAATGCCTTATATTGGAGACTTGAAAGAAAATGCTAATGAAAGTACTCTTAACTAACAAAGGTACTAAAAACCGGATCGAATCGGATGATTGAATAGATTAAACCGATAATCGGACTTGTGTCTCTATCCAATGGATCATTAAAACCGCTATAACATTAAACCAGATTTTGAATTGGAATACCGATCAAAAATCAAAAAATTGACAATTTGTCCAGTTACACAAGTTTAGTTGTGTATAACATTTGAAATGGAAAAGAAAGGAAAAAATTGCAATTTTTTCAAACTAAAAAGACACTTTATTTCATTTTCATCTTCCTTCATTTTAGCATGTTAAAATAGAAATTAAAATGCAACGAGAAAGATTTTTAATTTGGTTCTTGATTCGCTGCTCTTGTTGTTGGTGCAAGGTGATGAAATTGAGGAAGAAGAGAGAAAAAGAATAAATGCTATAAAGCTACTGCAAATGATTGAAAGAGAATTGATTGTATTAAATGTAAACCTAGTACACCTATTTATACATAAAAGTATTAAAGATAAGGATGCCACATAGGGCCTAAAGAGAATATCCAACAAATGGCAAATACTAAATTACCCTGTAATACCATCCCATAATTTAGTAACTATCAGAAGTTAACAACACTAATTTCATCTCTCAAGTGAAGAAATTAGCCTGTTTTTATCGCCTTCATCAGAACATCTGCCAGCTGCTTCTAAGTGCTACAGTGTAGAACTTCTAGCACTCCTTTCTGCACTTGACTTCTCATAAAATGATACTTCGTCTCAATATGCTTGCTTCTTCCATGTAGCAAAGATTCTTGGCAAGATTGATTGCAGACTTGTTATCAATCAACAGCTCCAGAGGTTTCTCTATTTCAATCTTCAAATCCTCCAGAAGATTCAGAAGCCAAACATCTTGACATGCAACTACAACACCTGCAATGTATTCAGCTTCACATGTTGACAAAGCCACAACATGATGTTTCTTGGAACTCCAAGAAATTGGACCTCCCATAAACTTGAACAAGTACCCAAAAATACTTCTTCTGTCAACTCTATCTCCACACCAATCAGAATCAGAATAGCTCAAGTTATGATTTGATCTTTCTTCCAGACGGAAATAACACTCTATATTTCAGAGTTCCTTTTACATACCTCAGAATTCTGACAACAGCTTGGTAATGAGACCACTTTGGTTTGCTCATGTATCTGCTAACCATTCCAACTGCATAGAAAATATCAGGTCTGGTATTACACAAATACCTCAGAGAACCAACCATCTGTTTGAAGGTTAGAGCATCCACATCCTCTCCATCAGAATCAGAGTCCAACTTCTGATTCGTATCAGCAGGTGTGATAGAAACCTTGCAATTTTCTAGCTCAAATCTCTTCAGAAGTTCAAGTTCATACTTCAGCTGATGCAGAATGATACCCTTTTTTGAGTACATAATTTTCATTCCTAGAAAATATACCATATTTCCCAGATATGTCATCTCAAATTCATTCATCAGAACTTCTTTGAACTTGACTATATCTTCTGGACAACTTCCTGTTAGTATTATGTCATCAACATATAGACACACCAGAATCATATTGCTACCAGAATGCTGCACATACACGCCATACTCCATCTCACATTTCTGAAACTTCTGCCTCTTAAAAAATGAATCAATTTTCAGATTCCAAGCTCTGGGCGCTTGTTTCAGTCCATACAAGGCTTTATGTAACTTGTATACCATCCCTTCCGGATTCTTTTTCACAAATCCAGGAGGTTGCGACACATATACCTCTTCTTGTAACGGACCATTCCGAAATTCATACTTCACATCTAGATGTATCAAAGGCCAATTTCTGTTTCCAGCTAAAGTAATCACCAGTCTGATTGTTTCGTGTCTAGCTACATGCACAAACACCTCAAAGTAATCTAGTACATGTTTCTGAAGAAAACCTCTAGCCACTAGTCTCGCTTTGTGTTTGCCAATTGATCCATCTGGCTTAAGCTTCACCTTGAAAACCCATCTGACGCTGATGGCTTTCTTCTTTTCTGGAAGCTTCGCCAGCTTCCATGTTTTATTTCTTTCAATAGCCTCAAGTTCTTCTTTCATGGCATTCAACCATACTCTCTTCTTGAGAGCTTCTTCAATACCCACTGGTTCAAAATCTACTAACATGGTACACTGAACGATTTCTCCTTCAGAATCTACTTCAGTATCATGCAACATGCTAAAATCTACAAACCTACTTGATATTCGTCTGATTCTCTGTGGCCTCTGAACTTGTTCTGAAGCTTCTCCAGAACTCGGAACAATGCTAGCTTCTGGACTTTGTCCAGAACTACTTCCTTCAGAATTACTGTAACGCCCTGTTTTAATTAATATATTATATTAATATTTTTGAGTTACCGTTTGATGTTTATTTTTGCGACGAGAATATTTAAATTAATCGTTATCTGTTAATATATTCGACGACGTTTTATTCGGTCTGGTATTTATTTTGAGGGACCGGTAATTATTTTATTCGGTCTGATATTTATTTTGAGGGACCGATAATTATTTTATTCGGTCCTGTAGTTATTTTGAGGATCCGGTAATTATACCTACGGAATTTATTTATGCAAGAAAATCAGCAGTAAAACCGTTTATGAGTATTTGTAGTGAATATAAATTTTTTTAAGGGTAAAGATACTAAGAAATCTAAGCAAGGAACATGTAATAATAACGAACTAAAGACATAAGAGAAAAAAAAAAAACATAAGAGTCTTTGTTTCATGGATTTCTAATTTATTTTTAAGAATATGATATTAATTTCTTTTATTTTTTTTCTTTCAAATATTTATAAATTATATCTTGGAATCTTTTATTCTTGGAAATTAAATTTAGATGTGATTTTTTTATTTATTTTTTATTTCCATGTAAAATGATAAGAATCTTATATTATTATGAGAATAAAATGTAATCACCAATAACTTCTTATTTTTATTTATTTATGTTACTTATTATTTATTTTAAATTTTTAACTTAAATATATTTTATAAATGTTTCTTAAAATTTAAATTATTTATCCAATATAGGAAAAATATTTCTGACAATAATGTGTTCGAGAATAATATTTTCAGGATTGTAATTTTAATTCTAAAAACAAACATACCCTACCACAAATTAGTTATAGACTCTTTCAAGGGTTAGAAATTTTTTTCATTTGATAAATATTTTATTTTTATTTTGAGAAAAAAAAAAAATAAATGTCTTGACATTATAAAATATCAATCAATAAGAGATATGCATTAAAATAAGTTTTAATTTTATTTTTAAAATACTGAATGACACAGTAAATATAAGAGTTTTAATTGATTGTATGTATAAAAAATATTTATATTGACAATACACTATTTTTAAACTCTTTTATTTTTTGTGTTTTGATTGAATTTTAAAATAAAAAATAAATTTAAAAACCATTATATATATATATATATATATATATATATATATATATATATATATATATATATATATATATATATATATATATATATATATATATATATATATATATATATATATATATATATATATATATATATATATATATATATATATATATATATATATAGTTTTTTTTGGTAAAACATATTATGGAATGATATTTTTGTCTAAGCATTTGACTGGATTTATTAAATTTATATTACTTTTGAATTAATAAATGAAAAAATAGAATCTGTATAGTAAAATCATAAGAATATACAAAAATTAATGTATTTGTTTTTTTAATGTACTTAGTATAATATAGGAATAAAATACAATAATTTTGGTTGAGTCAATTGTCTTAGTAAAGAATTCTAGAGATTATATTTTATGTTAAAATCGAATGAATTTATTATTCACTCCGTTATAATATTGTGTTTTCTTTTCTATTTTTATTTTTTAAAAATTATTATTATTTTTCAAATATTAATATAATATTTGTTATTTTTTTCCATCAATTTATTCTTATTTATTATATTTTAATATATTTAACTACTATACTATCTATTATTAATAAAATTATTTTAATAAGTGAGATTTATTTTATTATTGAAATAAATACCATTAATCTGTATTTTAACAGGTATGAAAATCTCAACAAAAAAAAAATACAAATAAAAGGAGTAATATTTTTTACTAAATTAATACATAAATATATCATTAAAAAAATCAAAATTAAGAAAAATAAACTATACAATATTTTTTTTGACCGAAAGTAACTAATAAATATAACTATTAACTTCTCTATTTTTCTCAATAAATAGTCCCTAACTGATTGCTGATTTTCATTGAGAAGTGAAAACATGGCTATCCGTATCAATCATATGTATGTTTTCATTGCAATTATGTGCATCGTTTCTATTTTGATTCAAGGTATTTTTAAATTTACATGATATTTTTCAATGTTAATTTTATTTAAATTTCGATATGAAATAATTTATCATATAATAGTATATCTATCCAAATATATTTTAAACAAATCCTTTTATGAGAATACTATTTTATTTTAAGATATTGTAACTGAAATTATGAATTGTTAAAACATAAAAGAATGTCTTTCAAATCGATGGCAAATTTTTTTGTTCCATTCATTTAACAATGGAATTAATTTTTATAAACAATTGTAGGTACATATAAAGTGGGTGGAATCCATAAAGTAATAGTTCCTGATCCGCCAGGTTGTGGTAATCGAGCTGATTTGTGTCCAGATTATCCTGAAGAATGTCTTAAGACTTGTATAATCAAGGATGTCGGATTAGCTAAGTGCTGTCGAGGAGAACTATGTTGCTGTGAAGCATAGCATTAGCATATATACCTTTGTACAAATTAATGTGCAAGTATTGTCTTAATGGCTACTATCAAAATAAGTTAAAAATAAATACATAAATTTCAGTTTTAAAATGCATCGTCCTATCACAATTTTTAAATTGTTTATTTTGATTCTCCTCAAAAGAACACACTCAATAAATACCCCTCACACTACAAGAAAATATGTGATTATTTACTACCAAACTTATGGTTAATTTGAAGTGAATCTCTCTAAAACAGATTTAGGTGAAGACTAGATGTAAATTAACTACTATATATGTGGTGGTTTGGATTGAGTGTTAATTATCTAGACTAAATTTTCTTAGCAAAATCCAAACTAATAGTTACATTTGGTAGCTAAATCACAACTAAAATGTAGCAAATTATCGGTCCTATATTAATGTTTTCAAATTAAATAGCTGCAATTTCGCAACAAAAATATCACAGTATATCTCAAGCTAAATTAAGTTCATTCCAATTTTTAGTTTTCTAATAAAAAACAAATAAGTTTAAAATTATAAAAAAAAAGTTATTATTTCCTCCATTCCAAAATAAATATTACATATTAAAAAAAAATTGTCTTAAAATACTTTTCATTTTAAATTATAAATAAAATTTTATATTTAATATTTTAATTGTACCTTCTAATAAATATTTTTAATTTATTATTTTCTCACTTAACATTAATACTAATTTAAATATATCAGAATAATTTGATAAAATCACTATTCACTCTTTCATTTATTATTATTTCATAATCGATATAAAATAGGCAATTGCGTGCCGGAGCAAAAAAACTTATACTTAATTACCAGAACATTTAGAACAACTCTTAAAAGCAATTTCATATTTATAAAATAACCAACAAAAAAAAACAATTTTATAATAGACCAATAAGTATTAATCAATTCTAAGATACATATAATGGTACATTGTATTAAAAGAATTAAGTGGTATCATCATACCATGCGGAAATGCAACCTTCGGTGCATGCTCATCCAATCGAATATCAAACGGTTCTAAATCTGATTTCTTCGTAAAATAAAACACAGAAAACCTGCTACATAACAAACAACAATAGGCACTTAAAAGGTACAATAACAAAATAAGAAGGATGCAGAAAACCTGTTTCGGACATGCTAGAAGCAGACCTGTTCCAGACATACTCGGAGCAATAAATTTTGAAAGAACAAGCTCCCACTATAAGTAGACCAATCAAAACCGATGCCACCCAAACAGCAAACAAAAAATTAATAAAATAGCACTAGATTATAAGCAAGTTTAAATACCATGTCATGTTACAAGTTATTTAAATTCTAACAGATAAGTTATTGCATAAATGGATAGATACTATGAAGTGATTTGACAAATAAATGTCACATTCTGTAATGATGCTACAAATAATATAACAAAGACAACAAATCACAAAACAATAAACTAAGGGTTTGTTTGGTTTGAGAAAATATTTTTTGTTTTCGTTACTTATTTTCACTAATTATAAAAGCATTAGCTTATTCTCTTAAATCAATCAGATCTAAAAATTATTAAATTATAACTTATAATGTCGAAACTATGTGCGTATGGAAGGGTTAGAGGTTGTCGAAGCATGTTGCTCGATGAAAATCATTGTCAAATCAGAGAGCTTGTGTATCGAAGCAGGTTGCACACATATTTGATTTGGTTTTAAATTTAGATTTGTTTTAGATCTAGATAAGATTTGATTTAGATCTAAAATAGATAGATTTGATTTAGTTCTAAAATATGTATTTTGGGTTTTATAGTTTTGGGTTTTATCTTAGAGAAGAAACTAACCTAAATCTATAAATAGAGAGAGTAATCCATATTTTTGAAATCAAGTCAATTCATTGTATTCACAGAATTTTGTAATTGTAAAGTGAATAATAAAGTTTTCTACAGCTTGTGGGCAAAGAGAAACTCTGCAGAAAATAATTCTCTTCTTTCTTTCATATTTTTCATTGTTATTGTGTGTTGATATCAATCTTGTTCATCAAGATTGATAGTGTTAGTTCTCTTGTTTTAGGATTGGCTTAATTTTTGTAAAACAAATAATAGCAGCAATCATGTAATGTAGAATATGATGTATAAACTTGCTAAGAAGAACATATACAACAAGAAGTCCTATTACAATGTCAGAACATGTCGTGTTGAACTTTTTCAACAACTGGAACAACATGTCGAAGAAGATGTCTTCGACATCGCGCCTGCTGAGCTGAATTAATGAGATTCAGTTTATTCTTAATAGAGGCAGAATATTCAGAAGAATATTATGCATCCTATGTGATGCATATTTAAAGGTCTAGAAAACTCAACCAGAAATCAAGGAGAATGAAGACTTTCTAAATAAGGAGATTGTTTAGGAAACTAAAGATTAAAGACTTTTCTTGGGGAAGAAGTTTCTGCTGTTTGTTACAGCTGACTTGCTGTGATTGAAGGCCCAAAACCAGTTGGGTAACAGGTTATAAATAAAAGGGTTTGTAACATAGAAAAGACACGGCTTAAGATGTAAAAGTCTAGGGTTTTGTCAAGGTAAATCTCATGGGTTATGAGAATGTTATCATGTTTACCTCGAAGCCTGTAGGTAAGAGGTGTATTGTTCTTGGAGGAAGCTTTGAAGCAACTCCAGGATGTGTTAGGAGCAAAGCTAAGAAACAATGGAGTTTGGCTTGTAGAATTAACTAGGTTGTCCTGGAAGTGTGTCTTCCAAACTATATATCTGTGTGATTAAAATCTTAGTGAAGGGTCGTCGATGCAGTGACTGAGGTGTTGACTGCTAGACATCATTGTGATGATTGGAAGTGAATGAGAATATTTTATATCTAGGAAGGACCTAGGTAGAAGGTTCATTGGATAGTAATTAAGTGCGTAGATCGTCAACGAGTGTGTTGGCTGTAGGGTCTGCAAATTGATACTGCTGATAGTGGACTTTATTCCTGGCTTGATAGCTCCCAGAGTAGGTGTTTTTGTACACCGAACTGGTTAAATAATTCTGGTGTGTTCTTTATCTTTTCAGTACTGTTTTATCTTGCATGTGTGTTTTTGTCAAATCAGATGTCTCGACATCCTTATAGGACATCTGAGTCTGTTGTACTAGAATTTCAATTGGTATCAGAGCAGGCATCTTGTTCTGTTCTGGGTGAGATCTTGGGAAGGTACTTTCTGGTCATGGGCAAGGAAGAAAGTATTTACTGAAAAGAGGTATGAACTTGGACAATTCATACTATTGTACGGATGATCTCATAAAAAGGATCATTGGTTATCTGTGACAGGTATTGTTACTGTCTGTTGCCTTCAGGCTTGTAGCTTGGTGGGAAGTTGCTGCACGTAGGGTTGATTTATTTTTCAATCCTAAGTTTTCATGCTTATACTTGGATAGTGGTGTAAGCATTGTGTCTGAATATTATTGAGGATTTTTTTTTGTATTCCGCTGCATGGTATCTGATATAACTCTGAAAGTATGAGAAGGATACTAGGGTTGTTACCCTCAACAGAATATATACTAACATTTTCAACCATATTAAAAGTGTCAAAGATACTTGAGATCTTCCTCAAGTCCACTTATAAAGACATTTATCAATAAGGTTGATGAGAATCAATTGATCAATGATGCTCATATACATCTGCATATTGACCTTGAAGACTGTCAAGGATGGTGTGTTCCAAGAAGAAGGAATTGATGTTCTATGGGATGTTAGAACATTATTTTAGCAGGTATGTAACTACCAGTTGAATAACAAATGCCTTGGATGCTGAACAAAAATGTTATGAATACTTTTTGTTTGGAACCCACTCTTGATCTAGAAGAGGAGGCATCTGGTTTGTGCAGGTTGATCAGGACACGATCAACAATTTATCTACTCCATGTGTCAGTTTATTTATTATTTCCTCCATTCCAAAATAAATACTATATATTAGAAATTTTTTTGTCTTAAAATACTTTTCATTTTAAATTATAAATAAAATTTTATATTTAATATTTCAATTGTATCTTTTAATAAATTTTTTTAATTTATTATTTTTTCACTGAACATTAATATTAATTTAAATATATCAGGATAATTTGATAAAATCACTATTCTCTATTTCGTTTATTATTATTTCATAATCGATATAAAATGGACAATTGCGTGCTGGAGCGAGTAATATTTTTTCAATTAAACTTATACTTAATTACCAGAATATTTAGAACAACTCTTAAAAGCAATTTCATATTTATAAAATAACCAAAAAAAACAATTTTATAATAGACCAATAAGTATTAATTAATTCTAAGATACATATAATGGTACATTGTATTAAAATAATTAAGTGGTATCATCATACCATGCGGAAATGCAATCTTCGGTGCATGCTCATAAAATCAAATATCAAACGGTTCTAAATCTGATTTCTTCGTAAAATAAAACACAGAAAACCTGCTACATAACAAACAACAATAGAGACTTAAAAGATACAATAACAAAATAAGAAGGATGCAGAAAACCTGTTTCGGACATGCTAGAAGAAGACCTGTTCCAGACATACTCGGAGCAATAAACTTTGAAAGAACAAGCTCCCACTATAAGTAGACCAATCAAAACCCGATGCCACCCAAACAGCAAACAAAAAATTAATAAAATAGTACTAGATTATAAGTAAGTTTAAATACTGTGATACGGTGGGAGAACTGACGTTAAGGGTTTTGCGATTGTGTTCGTAAATGTTGCGGTTTACCAAGAGTCGCCACCGACTTTTCTTTTATCCAATAAGGAAAGGTAAAAAAGCACAGGAAAAACTTTTTGAGATATTTTCTTGAGTTCGGGGGTAGATTATCAAAAGGGACGGTATTAGCACCCTTTCCATCCATGGTTTTCCATGGGCTCTTAGTTACTTGTTAGATCACTTGCTTTTGTTTGAAAATTGTGTTTTTGTGTGGTTTTGAAAGTATTTTGAAAAGGTGTCATCGTTTAGGCGAACTTTGCAATGATTCCCGTT